ATACAGCTCCCAGCATCACGCAGGAGAGCAAGTGCATGAGACGTACTGACCTGTTTTGGTTCTCTTAAGTCGGCTTTGCGAGGCTGTCACTTCCTTTTACACGCTCTCGAGTTTGACTTTCTGTCCCCCTGCGCTTCTCCGCTCTCTTGGCCCCGCACCGTCCTTCGGAACGCAGCGTCCAGCTCTTCTCTTTCCGGGCACTACAGTCGGGCAAGATCGGGAGCGATCGTATAATAATTAATGGTCGGCGGTGCCCGAAATGCTGTTGGCAGGCTGTGCCGCGGCGTAATCAGTGACTAGACGGCGGAGGCGCGTCAGAAGTTTTCAGGCAACTTCTCGCTTTCTCCTCCCAGCGCTGGGTCGCGAGCGCCTGGGATCACATGGAGGAAAATGCGGAAACGTTTCTTACACGCCCCCCCCCAGATCCAGATCCAGTTGATTGTTTTCCACATTTCGCCCAAGTGGTCAGTACTTCATATCAGTTCACATGCCACATCTACAATTATGTACCCAAATGTAGGAAGCGAGGTATAGTCATATTTGTTCATTGCCAGTAGGAATATTCTCGGTTCACAGTTGTTTCAAGTTGATTAAGCCATATAGATATGCTCTTGGTAGACCACAATGCTTTATGAACGCACAATAAAGCCGTCTGATCTGTGGGCTCCGGGCGTTTTATTCGGGGATAATATATTAAAGTTATAAACAGATGTCAAATAGTTAGACATGAGCCACCGCCAAAGCCATCAAGTTTTCGATTCGTTTTTACAACTGCTTCGATTTTGTCGGAGTTGAAAAGACTTAGGCTATATAGGATAGGGTTAAATGAGACAGAAACTCAAGCAAAATGATATGGAAAATAGTAGGTATTATAAGAGACCGATGAAGCGCAGCCTTGCCCTAAGCAACTAAACAAGTAAAAATCTCCGATGTGTGATACGTAAAACGTCAAACTACGCATATGTACGGGCATCACCTGAGCTGTGAATTTATTGTACCCCAAAACAGCGCAAATAATGGTCTGAAACTTCGACAGTGAGACGATGCTCACGAATTAAACCACATCTGCTGCTGTTTAGAGTTCATTACTTAATTCGAGTTAGGAAAAATTATACAGGCAATTTAATTTTATTACAAAGCCTGAACAAATCTAACAAAACTTTCTTATTATAAACTGATAAAAATTGGAGTTTCTTGGGAGGGAGGAAGGATATGAATCACGTGTAACTAACTGTGCGACGTTGCGGTAACCGGAATAATTGTCACTCTGCAGACGTTAGCAGTTATTTGCATAATTGCTAAGAATTGACAATTGGATTAGGACGAAATGGAACAGAGCAGAGCTCTCGGATTAGCGTCATGTACATTTAACGATGCTTTTTATGTGATGTTTTTTTCAGCGTGTGGTTTGCTTTAAATGTCTGCTTTAATACAGATCTGAGAGCGAACAAACTTGTAAGCAGAGGCCACCAGCTCGTCAGGCATCTTCAGACCAAAAGCCTGACAAATACACAAATCAAGCTATAAAATGGTAAGTGCTGTAGGAGGTAGATGAACGTCCATTGATATTCTGTTTAGCAGATTGAGGACTTTAATTAAATATGACCTGAGAGATCGGTAGGCTGGGCATGTGGGGCTGAAGCGAGTTACTAATGATTTGTTTCTCGGTTGTTTAAACAGCCATACTCTCAGCTTGATGACCGGGGATCCGCCCCAGATGTTTTAAGATCGTAGCAACACTCCTGCGTATGACATGTCCAAAAATGTTAGATTTGAAAGAAGTCAATGTAATTTCTGCCATACATAAGCAAACACCGCAGTCACGAACAGTAGGCCTATAATGAGTGAGTGCAGTCAGAGTAGATTATCGTAATGGGCATTAGGATGATAAGGATATTATGAGTGAGTGTAGTACACAATAGTCAATAGATCATAATAATAAAAACCGGCACTATGACATAATCACATTAGTTTACTTGGTACAGTATGCAGGTCTCCTGAGAGGAGCAGTGGTGTTTAAATGTATAAGACGAACCGATTACCTATACCATCCATCCATCCATCCATCCATTGTCCAACCCGCGTATCCTACTGGGTCGCGGGGGATTACCTATACCTATTTTTTATTGAAGAGAATCATCAGGACTGTTCAATTTACTTACAATTAAATGATCTCATAGGACACGCTTAATTTTTTTTTGGCACGTAAAAAGCAGGCACTACTGATGTGATGTATAGTTACACTTGCAAGCACGCAAAATCCGTTTCTGAGGATATACGTGTGTAGAATTTGGAAATGTCTGATAGTTTATAAGACCATCGATCACTGCGCACTTTCGCCCACGCATTAAGATAGTTCTTTTTAACTTGGATGATTCTTGCAGGCATAACTGGACCATAGGCCGTTTATAAAAAAAAAGCTATCAGCACACACTGCAGCTACCATCTAAAGAGAAGCCTCGGTTCTCCGTCCCATGACGAAGAGAGATGAAACTTTAGAGCGAAAATACTCCGTCCTGTCTCTGCTTATAGGTTTTTCGGTATATCCGCTCTGATCGCCTTACCCAGAATGGACTCAAAGAAGCCTCAGAGTCAACCTAGCTACCGGAGCCTCAGCATTATAAGCCCCTACAATACACACAAAAGGAGAAGAAAAAAAACTTTAAATCGACCAAATGTTATTCCACGATTGTATATCATTATCATGAATAATTCACTAAATCTGTTCCAGTTTTAAGGTCCTGTCACCAATGAACTGAAAAAATACACAGAGTATAACTGTCCGACGCAGCGGTTTGGAGCCGACTGGATCCGTTGCCCTGAATCGGCCGTGGTCTCACTTTTGCACGGCTTGTGCAAAAGCATTAAAAGCATACTGACTGGATGAGTGCGCAAAAATAAAAAAAAAAAAGACGTACGGCTTCTGGATGCGTTGGCTGCCTTTTCTCGGGAGTATTGCTTTTATGTAAAATAAACGATGCAGAAAGTTTCATGTTCGGAGGGGGGCTGAGGGGAGCACCAAGAGGAATGGCGTCGGCCATCCGCGCGCTACGTTCCCACAGCCTGATTCCCCTGTGCAACCCGCGCTGCTCACCACTCAGCAACTTTTATTCACGTGTGACCAAAAGGGAACAAATGTGCTATATTTCATTTATGAAACTATACATCTGCAAGGTTGTATTAATGTTGTCTTTTCCAATTTCTCTAAAATACGTTTATTGGCATTAAAAACAATTGATCTGGATGGATGAAAATTCATCCATCTCGTTTTTATTTCACCATTTCTTTCAGAGGTAAATGGTTTCTCATATTTAGGAATACTGATAATTGTTAATGAACAATAGGAACCTTGGGCCGTAATGCTGGACTTATGCTGTCCTCTGCTGGTTGTATAAAGTAACTACATCGATCAGCCATACCAAACCACCTGCTTAATAATGTGTAGGTCCCCCTCGGAAAAAAATAAAACAGCTCTGACCCATTGAGGCATGGACTCTACAAGAACTCTGAAGGTGTCCTTTGGTATCCTGCACCAAGATGTTAGCAATAGATCATTTAAATCCTGTAAGTTGCAACGTGAGGCCTCCATGGATTTAGGGAATACAGTTGCCATGAAGGGGTGTATTTGGTGTATTTAGGTAGGTGGTACGCGTCAATATAACATCCACATGAATGCCCGGACCCAAGGTTTCCCTGCAGAAAATTGCCCAGAGCATCACACAGCTTCCCCTGGCTTGCCTTCATCCCATAGTGCATCCTGGTGCCATCTCTTCCTCAGGTAAACCACACACACACACCCGGCCGACCTCATGATGTAACAGAAAATCTGACTCATCAGACCAGGCCACCTTCTTCCATTGTTCCATGGTCCAGTTCTGATGCTCACTTGCCCATCGTAGGTGCTTTCGGCGGTGGACAAGGGTCACCATGAGCACTCTGACCGGTCTGCAGTTATGTAGCCCCATACGCAGTGAGCTGTGATGCACTGTGTTCTGACACCTTTCTGTCACAGCCAGCATTAGCTTTTTCGGCAATTTGTGCTACAGTAGCTCTCCTGTGGGATGGAGCCGGACGGGTTAGCCTCCGCTCCCCACACGCATCAGTGAGCCTTGGGTGCCCTTCCTCGGACCACTTTCGGTAGGTACTGACCACTGCAAACCGGGAATACCTCACTAGACCCACCTTTTTGGAGATGCTCTGACACAGTCGTCTAGCTGTCACAGTTTGGCCCTTGTCAGAGTGGCTCAGATCCTTACTCTTGCCTATTTCTGTACTTTCAACACATCAAATTCAAGAATTGACTGTTCCCTTCCTTAATATATAATTTCACAGTGGTTTTAATATTATTAGCTTATTAACATAGTATTGTAATTCTGACCAGGTAATGTATCGGTGCATATCGATTTAGATTCTGCGACAGCAATCACTTTAGAAAGGCAACATCCATAAACAAGTTGCTTTGTGAAATAAGCACATGGTGTTTGTGGCCAAGAGTATTGTATGAGGGAAGTATTGTACAATAAAAAGTTGCAGTTTAACTAATCTTTTATATATTTATATGAAATGATTTTAGATTCATTTTGAAGGATGAAAAGATTAAAATCCTTGCAGGATCAGCCACTTACAGTATGAGTGAAACTGACCAATCTAAGAAAGCCTGTGGATGTTGACCTGGACATTGAGACTTAACCACTGAGCTAGAAGCCCATGTGCCGCCCTAAGCAAGCTTCACTGCTGGCGCCCCCTGTCTGAGACAAAGTGAAATTGGCTTGCTTAGTAGACGCTCCATCACAAGATGGCGCTATAGGCGATCGTCTGCCACCTATTGCATTGACTGACACTGCATTAGGCAGCTATGTGGTGGACATGAAGGTTCCGGCAGACACCAAGGTGGGTGTGTATGTAAGAGCACATTGGTCACTTTGAATGACAGAGTCAGTAGAATGAGAAAGTTATGGATAACCTGCCAAATTCAGCATACAGATCAGCAGTCAAGTGGGTGAATGATGAGTCACATATTTATTGACAACTATAGAGGAAACAGTCATCACTGGGTCATGCAAAGCAATACTGAATACAGGTAGAAGACAAAATGGAGGCAACAACGCCAAGGTGGGAAGTCAGCTTCGAGGATGATGCGCAACACACTGCACAACACGCCAGGGGGTTTCTACCGCAGAAACACAGTGATGAGGCTTCAACACTTCACGGACGGGCGGGTTGACAAGGTCTACCAAAGTGCGAGACAGCAAAACTCTTCACGGGACACGAAGCAGTGGCCTGAAATGCCATGTGTTTGGTGAAACTGGCCATCCCAGTCATGTGTCTGAGTTCCACCAATTAATCTGAACTGATGTATTGAGCCACTATCAGGACCTGGTGATAATATAATAAGAAACATAAGTGTATTGACTTCTTCGAACACATACACCGAAAAGCTAGAGGAACTAACCACAACTGTTTTGTTTGGGAATACACAGTCACAATGAAGCTATAACACCAATGGATAACTCTACACAGTTTTTTCATTCTGTGTTTCACTCAGCCAACAACATCACTGTAAATCTCTTCATTAGACTACAAAAATATCACCCCTGTTTCATCAAAAAAGTACCTCTGTACCTAAACCATCAGGACCTTGCTGGCAACCCAGTGGGGATAGGAGGTACGCGACACAAAGAGATGCACAACGAAACACAACTGTTCCAAGACTTGGACACACATCTTCGAGCGCTCGTTTGACCGTTATCTGGCGCTGGGCAACAGGCGCTAGTCAGAGAACAGGCTGGCGAAAGACTTTCGCAAGTTTCGAATGGTCTCCGCTTTGGCCTCATCCTCATTGCTGGAGTGAAAGAAGGACGTGTCACCGAAGCTGAAGGCGTTTGTCAGGGACTGTGACTTACTGGAAAACAAGGAGAGGCCAAGTGAGAAGGAAAAACCTCAATACTGTCAGGAGAGCATTTGAAGAAACACTGGAAGCTCCTCTGAAAGACTCACTAAACATGCTCATTGCGGGATGTGGATATCAGCATTTAGCATGTGCCACACAGTAAGGGAGATTAACCAACCTGTCACATGAATAACAGATTTTTAAGTTTTTCTATTCTACTTTGTACCTCTTACAAGTGGTCATCAGATTATAAATCTTGAAAGAGATGTAATCTTCATACCCATGCCTTTGTATACAATAAAAATACACAGATTTTTAAAATGTCCATTTCAAAATGCATAAGATACATATACTATAGATGATTTTAAAGATATAGATAGAGATTTGCTGGTCTTGTTAATGTGGCACCAAACATCCCATGACCAATTGTACGTTATGCGGAGGTCGAGCTCGTCAAGGCTTTAATCCAGCCTGAGCTCATCTGGGGTTCTTACTTCAGCTGTGGTTGGGTCTTCTGTTGGGCAGCAGGCTGTTCTGGGACTGGCTGAACCTGGGCTTGGGTTGGGACTGGATTTGGGCCTGAGGCCAGGGGCTGGGCTTGAGGTGGGAGTTGAGCTTGGGGGGTTGGCTGGGCCTTGGCTGGAGTGGACGGCTGTGGCTTTGGCTGAATCTGGGGCTTGGAGTTCTGCCGCTTGGGCGGCACAGGCTTGGGGGGCAACGGTTTCGGAGGCAGCGCTTTCGGAGGCTGGTCTGCCGGCTTGCCGGGAGCAGGTGAGCCTTGGCCCAGAGCTTGGGGCTGCTGTGTGGTGGGGGCAGGGGCCAGTGGGGGCGCCGGGTCCCGTGCAGAAACACTGGGAGCGGACGCCGGCGGAGCCTCCTGACTTTGAGACTGCGATTCTTGGGGTTGCACTGCGCCCCCTAGGTTTAGTACAAGAAACACTTTATGATATCACAACATTTTCACACAGAAAGCCCCCTAACCCCCCACAGGCTTTCAAAGTAAAAAGAAGCACATTTTAAATCCAGCACCTGTTGTTTGAAATGTTTTATTGATTGTTCTACGTCCGACAAACAGACAAAAGCCCCCCCCCTCCAACATCACCCTGCCTTATATGAAGGAATACAAATTGGGTGACAGACTCTTGAGGTTGACATGACAGACGGTACATCCAGGGAGGGGAGTGGGGTGTGGCTGGGGGAAGGTGCTTCCTGGGATATCAAAGACAGACGGAGTTACGACCGGAGTACATGGATGCGAAGAGGGCGAGCAGGGGGTAGAGCAGGGGGTAACGACGTAGCCATTCCACAGCGATAACACCAGAGTCATGCATCAAAAGCAAGGCAGAGAGGAGGCATGCCCGGTGGGCGGAGCCCGCATCCGCTCTCTCAGGGCGTGCGGCCGGTTGCCCCGGTAATCCCTCGCAAATGGACCCGCACGGCCTGTTCTCTCCATTTTCTCACACAAACTGTACAGTGCCTTTTTACCGGCAGATAAATAGTTAGTTGTGTTATGACCTGCTTTTGACGTGAATAGTTACCAATTCGTTAATGGATGCCGAATATCATTATAACCTTCGCAGTTACAACGCAATGTGTACTTAAAAAGAATATATATTCATATCCACATGAGTAGGAGGGTAGGCTATATCAAACAGGAATGTTGCCTGTTAATTAAATGTTTTGACGGAAAAAGTAAAATTTAATAGTAATTTACATAACATGTGCTATTAGCGGGACTTTTTTTGACTTGACACATCGTACAATTTTTTAACTTATCCTTCAGTCTTTCTTTCTTTCTGTCACTGTATACACAGAGCTTCTTTCTGTTGTTCATCTTCCACCCCCTCACTCTCTGACCTCAGCCCAAGGTCCCCCACAGGGGTGCACACCGTCCCACCGGAAAAATTAAAGCATGATAGTCTATAAAGGGTAAAAACCGAAATAAAGATTAAAATGTGACTTGGTTGCAGATATTTCGACATGGGACATAAGGGTCTCACAGAGGAAGCTTTATTGCTTGGGAGAGAGACACGGGGGCACCAAAGGTCATGGAACAGGCGGGGGAGCTGTTCTCCGAGTCCTTTTCCACTGAAGCCCTGGATTTATAAAAGGGTGGCATAGGGGGAAAACCTTTCAGCAGAAACTGACATGAGTTTGACTCCGTAGGCTGTCAGAGTAGGAAAAACCGCAACACACTTTCCTTACTAGGGTCTCAGCTCCCTCTAGAGGTGAAACACTCGATAATTAAAAAAAAACATTTGTGTGCATTAAACTTCTCCAAAGACCGGCAGCCTCTGTTTTTGTCAAAGTGACGTTATTCAAAAGAAAAACAATTTTCAAAATACTTTTTGCCCTGATATTCATTATAGCACGTCAGGTAAAGCACTAAATACCATAAATATCTTTTAAGCAAGTAATCCACTGTGATTTGACTGCCAGCAGTTGGCAAAGGGGTGCATCTGCAGGCCTACACATGGACAATTGCTACAGTATCACGTTTAACTGATTGATCACGTCAGTGACTGATTTAATAAAACCTTTCATAAAATCCTGTTTTAGGTAGGCCTATGTTTGCTTTACATACATTTTAATAAATATAATTCAAAGTTTAATCACATTAAGAAATTTGTGTAATTTATATATATATATTTGTATTTTTATGTAAAACTATTTAGGCATCCATTTATATATAAGTTAGTATTATTTAGGCTATTATATATATATATATATATATATATATATATATATATATATATATATATATATATATATATATATATATATAATAATGTAAAAACTATCCCCTTAGAACTACAAAGTCACCCTTTCACTTTCGCGAGAGTTAGGGAGGACGTTTTTTTTTAATATTAACGATATAGCATGTAGGCTACTTATACTACCAAATATTAAATAACACTAATATATTACATTATTTGTGATCCAAATCACTTTCGGTAAGTCTACTGTTTAGACCCTATGTTTTTGACAGTCCAAAAATATTCCGGAAACTGTCACGGCCAAATGGCGAATAACCGAAACCGTTAATATCAAATTCGCGAATCTGGAAGGGCGACTGTATTTTCATCAGTCTTAACTTTGGAATCGGCCTATTTAATCACCGTGGAAAATTAACAATAAATATCTTTTGCCAGTAATAACGCGATTCGATCATCACGTTTTACATAAAACCTCTAAAGCAAGGAAACGATATGGCTATGATATAGCAATGTTCATTTTGGTCAGAAACATCTATCCATCCATTTTATGTAATCGCTTATCCTATTCAGAGTCGCAGGGTCTTTTGAAACAATGGACTTGAAACAATAAACACTTTACTGGAAAAAAACACCTAAAGAGGTCAGCCGAGGTTCGACAGGCTGGGTGTTCTGCGATTTTAATAGTGCTAAGTCCACAGTAATAGGAGTAAAGCTTTCAGGTCGCGTTTTATTACGCTGACCTTTTACGGCAAACAAAAAAAAAATCTGAGCAAATCGGGACTTTCAGTTTGCATGGGCAAAACAAACGGAAAATCACTTCATTATTCCGCTGCGGATCTCACAGGGACCTCCGCTTTTACTCACGGAGCGCATAGCGAAGCGCTGAGACCGTATTAGAGCGCTTTTCTGCTGACAGTCCGATTCATTGCGCCTGTCGCAGCATTCAGTGTAACAAAAAAAACCCAATGGTTTCCGGAAATCTTAGAAACAGCATTTTCAGTTACAGTTCTTTTTTCAAAGGAAAAAATAATCCAGTATTAACAGTAAATGACCGCACAAAGACTTCAACTTTCAAAAAAAAAAAAAATTTAACTACTGGAGAACAGATGTGAATGTTGGCTATATGTATATAAAATTACTCAGGTCCAGGTTTTCTGACTGTATTGCTGGAAATTCGTGGGGTTGGTTCTGTTCCCTTGCCGTTATAACCTCTTTTAACATGTTGTACCAAAGAGGAAAAACAAAATATTTTCATGCTCAGAATTACAGATAGAACATTTCTGAATATAATAAAACGATGATCACGAATATACATTCCTTGTATATCCCACGTGAAAACACATAGTCAAATACAAATCTTTAACTGTCTTTGAATCACTCATGCAAGCAATATATAAGTATATTTTTGAATAGAGAAAATAATCACTACCGTCACACACGGATGAGGTCTCTGTCACACAGACACACATAGAGAAACGGACGCACGGATCAGTGAAGGGATGATGGAGAAACCGCCACCTACTGGTCACCACGAAATATCAGCACTATCAATTTAAACGAGGGTGAGGAAACGGGTAGATAAATAGTGAATACTGGTAACAGTGTGAAGAAAACCACACGAAAACACGGCAGCACTGGACTCGATTTAGGCACAATTCGTTTTTACACCATTGACGACAGCCCTGAAGAAAAACCACAAAATTTACAGGAGAACAGAGGCAGCCATTACAAGCACACACATTCACAGGTAAACAGTACATTTTGACACTGCATAGAAAAAACACAGTCCAGGCCAGCTCGGAAACACGGCAGAATTGCACAAACTACGTTCCCCCTTTGCGTCCCTCAGGTTATCACTTGCTTCTCCATTAAATGGAACAACTCTTTTTATTTTTATTATTTGGCTAACAGACGTCTGTGGCTTCTCGCATCAGTTTCATTTAGTCGTTTAGTTTGCCTGGACTTGTTTTGGTCCTACTGCAACGCCATTACAGTCCAGAATGTACTGTAAACAACCTTGGGGCGCCGGCCGCTGCGCTGGGATCTTGCCGCCGTCTGTCAGTCCTTCCTTCGGGGCTGCCGACTGGAAGACACAAGGACATGGATGAGCATGGAGTGAGGACCTGGGGCTCCGTTCCTTAAACGACAGCGGTGGGCTAACAGGAGATTGTCGATCTCCACGGCCAGCAATGCTGCGCGCTTTCGGGGCCAAACTACTCCAACGCTGTTGTGCATGGGATTTCATGACAAACCCTTCAAGCTGGTCATTTCAGGGAGGCAAGATCATTTATCGTTGCGGTGGTGGTGAAATGTAACATGTTCTGGACCAGTACGAACCAAACCTGAAACAGTATTCCATAGCTGCCAACTCTCACACATCTGGCGTGACTTTCACGCTTTCAGACTCTCACGTAATTAATCTAATGGCAAATCTGTATTATTCCATTGTAAACCTAAAATTAGCTACATCAAAACTGTTGGGGAAGTTTGCAAACCATACAGACAATTTACAAGCTAATAAAACTGTTACATACATGTTACATGTACATTTCTAGAATGAAAATGTCATGTATATAAATATACATAGAGAGAGAACTGATCGATATATTCTATATATCAGTACTCTATATATTAGAGTACTGATAGATATTTTCTCTATAGATAGATAGATGAACTTAAAAATAAACATCAAACACTATTGCACGGAATCCCACACTTTCACCACCAGATGGCGCCTTATATCACTCTCAGCAACAGACGATCTAAAGGACAGATCTCACCCTCCTCCTGTGCTCTTCATAAAAGGCCCACCCTGTGTGAGATGGTCCGTGTGTTTAATCTGAAAATGGCGAGGCTCCCTCCCTCACCTGAGGAGGCTGGACGGTGGTGGGCCTTTGTGGGGAGCGGTTGGTGGTTCGTGCCACAGTCTGGTTCATTCTGGCCACCACCATGTCAGCGATAAGCTGACGGTCCTCAGCCTGGTGTTCCCCAATCAGCGGCATGGAGGATCCTACCACCTGTACAGGGCCAGAACAAACACACAGACGCACATACATATAATAAAAGCAGGTGTTCATTCACATCACTGCAGCTGTATAAAAGTAAGTCACTTAGGGTAAGTGTCAAGTCAGCAATAATAATCATTTATAACCAAATAACAATAGAAACACTTTTTCCTATCAGATAAACATCTATTGCATATCTCAAATATAAAGTTAAATTATCCATTTTACATCATGCTGCTTGATTTATTGTCTGCCATCTTTTAATATTTGGTGACCATCTTCAGGCAAGGGGTGCAGTGAAATTCCACTTTGTCACAAAAAGGGTCACTTTGGGGAAGATTTGCATGGCATGGAGGGCATTTGGGTGGTCCAAATGAGGGGTGGGCATTTGCCCTCCTCCATGACTGCTTGTGTGCATCCAGCTGGCCCCATCAAACATCACTGCTGCCTGGCTCTGGGCTGCTGACGCGCATCGCTTCGCTGGTTTTCTGTTCAGCTCCCCCCACGCTTTTGCCACACATGGTATGTTCTGCCACGTCTATCGTTCGACTGTCGGCAGCCAGCCAAGGCAAGTCACACAAAGCCACATTTCTCTCACACTTGTCTATCCTTACACCTGCTTTTATATTTCTAAACAGAAGTAGAAGTTGCATAACAAAACTGATTTTAGTTCCCAATATTACCAGCCTTTTCTCCTTTGCACACCACTCACCTAAAATAAACCAAGCACTACATTTATACAGTCCTTCACATGGCAAGACAAAAGACAAATTTAGGGATGACACAGCTTATTACATATTACGGAAGAGTGAACAAACATATTCATAATATCTAAGTTTCCTTTAATTCTTTAAATATTGGCACTGGCAGATGTAATTAGACGTTTTCTTGCAAACTACAAAATTTTAATATTACTCCAAATATAATAAGCTCTCCCAGAGTGGCTGCTTAAGGCATATTAATTACTGACAGTCTGAACAGCAGATTTTTAGAACAGATTAACAGAGGAAGTTTCAATAGAACTGCATTATTTCATATCGATATACAATATATATAATATATGCATATATATTCATTAAGATTCTTACACACTGCAACCCTATTTTGTATAAGTGGTATGGAAGATAGACGGATGTTGCACCCCGTTCACTTTGTTAGCTGAATTCACATTCTGGTCAGGTCAGGTCGGGGAGCTGCACTGGAGCAGCGCGTTGCCGCTGCACCCACCACACAACGAAACTCCTCTGGATCCCGGTTGGTGCCCCCCAGGCTGACACACGGTCCAGTCCCACCCTCCGGAAGTGCCCATCTGTCTGCCGCAGCCAGGTGTTACGTGGGCGTCCTCTTGGCCTGGTCCAGCCGCTCGGGACCCCCACAATGAGGGTCCTGCCAGCCGGATCGCCCTCAGGGAAACGCGCAAGGCGGCCGTAGTGCCCTAACTGATGCTTCACATTGCTGGGATTTATGCATTATTTGACCAAAGCACCTTCAAGGTTATTTTTATTAAGCATATTATTCACTGAGCTCTCCTTCGGTTTCACTTCATGCTGCCCCCGTCCCCTGTGGGGACAATGACGGACAGCCAGCTGCAAGAAATGCGGGGGAGGTAGTGCAAGCCTCACCCCCTCCCAGAATGAATTTGGTCTGGTCCTATATTTAATAGCTGTAATGTCTGATTTTGTCTATCTGTGACAGCAATGGCAAAATGTGGACGGTAAATAAAACTATGAATCATGTGGGTCCTTATTAGGAACTGTCAAACGGCCTTATGGGACTGGTTTAAGAGGCAGCAGTGATGCACAGGTGCATGGAAGACCTGCACAAAACCCTGACTACCTTTCAAAACTGCCTAAACAGGCATCCATGACAACATGCAATATCAAGGTGGAAGTGTTCACTTTTCAAGAACGCGCTGTCATCGTGCTGTGAAAGGATTAGCGTGAGCTCTCAGATGCAGCTCGTGCATGCTGTCATTTGGAGACTGTACCTCCTGAAGGCATCGCAGGGGGAAATCAGGACCAATTCCTGTCTGTCTCCGTGAGACCCCCAAACACAACCCCCCCCCCACAACATCCTCTGTTACTACCAACCGGAAATAGCCAAAAGTTATTCTGAATTTTTTTCATTACTCCGGGAGGCTGGAAGGGCCTGCAGTGTAATCTAGGACAGCAGAGGTCACAACAGACTTGAAACAAACCCAGTTAGGGAAGTGGACTCAAGGCCGGAATGTTTCTAATACTGTCAATTGATAATTCAGTCGATATACAAATGTTACAAAAGTGTGTTATTGACCGCTGGTGGAAACAATTCAGCTTGGTCATTTGTTAGATGGCTAACGTTACGCTCCCTCCAGGGCATCCCGACCTCGTGCCCGGTGATTGCTGGGGCGAGCTCCAGGCTCATCCTGACTCTGAACTGGACAAGCCCTTAAGGACGATGGGTAAGTGTACTGGACCAGTACAGCACAAAGCTTGCCAGTGGCCATATAATGAATATTATTTCACTAAAACGTCTAAGACCGAAGAGTGATTGAGGGGCATTTTGGTGTCTCTGAAATAAATGTTTTGCAATTTTTCCAGCCAGAGTGCTGAAGGGAAAACTGTAAAATGCACACTAATCCTAAGCCTAGCAGGTGACAAACGATGACTAATATTTTAATAAGATCTGTGGTCATGTAATGTGTAAAAATGAAAGTTAAAAAAATATAGTGTTAATTTCACCACCCGCGGGAAGAAATACATTATAAAACAGTAAGGTGGCACTAGCAGTTATAAAATGCCGCTTTATAAATTCCGGGCAAATGATAGCGCCATTTTCCTGAGACTTGAAAACGCTGCCCTACCTGCTGGATTGGTGTGTTACTCGGCACATTAGGACCCACATTTATCAGACAGGCAGATGAAACAAACTGAATCGTGCATTTTAGTCATGAGCCCAGGGCAGAAGGAAACAAAACAACAAGGAATTTCCTGACGAGGAACCGTTGTGAGACTTAGACAATGAGGATTCTGTCGGCTGGCCTTGCGGCACAGATGCCGCTCCTCAGCACTGATGCTCCATAGAGGTATCATGGTGTTTAATGAAGCCCACGGCTCTGGAAAGGCTTCACTCAATCATCATGGTCGGTGGAGACTGGTCAAGGGTAGGAGGGCGGACTGACTGAGGAAGGACCCCCAAAGCCCAGCTACCAGCACAGGAGAGCAGACTGACTGAGGAAGGACCCCCAAAGCCCAGCTACCAGCACAGGAGAGCAGACTGACTGAAGAAGGACCCCCAAAGCCCAGCTACCAGCACAGGAGGGCGGA